ATTAACCTACTTGAAGGGGCAACATGGTGTGTGAGTGTGAGATGTCTCCCTCCCCCTTTGGATTCAGTTCTAGCCAGCCACAGTGGTACTACCAGGCGCCAGCAAGACTGAAGAGAAAAGTATTGCACTTCTAAAATTTTTTAACTGTTAAATGTGTGAGGGGTTATGAAAGTGTAACTGGGCAGAGAACAGGAAGAAGGACTGGTTTAAGGCAAGGTCCAGGCTGGTGTTTATTTATCTTTTGTCAGATAAATATTTTAGAAGTTAAAAGAAACTGAGTAAATGACATGCCTACAGAGTTTAAGTAGGCTACTAGAGAAACAAATAAGTGAAGTAATTTATGATGTATTTAATTTTGATTAGCCTACTACAATCCAAATTGAATGCTCTGTACCATTAAATTGCATATCTTATGATTATTCATATGCATGGAGCCTATCGCAGGGTTGAATAAATCGTGTTGAATCGCAATTTGGGGTGAATCTATCATACCACATTTGTAATTGCTTCATATGTATCTTTAATGTATCAGATCAATGGCAATCCGCCTCAGTGATAGAGATGCATTTCCATATTGACGATTCATGAGTTTATTGTTGGACAGGAGAAGAATGATGAAATCGCTACATGTGACAATAAAGTATCTTTACCTTTACCTGAGAGCAGAGCAGGAGAGAAGACAGGATAAGAGCAGCAGAGCAGAAAATAGTAGCCTAAAACACGCTTTTAGAAGCTGAGTAACAGCCTCGTCAAGTCTTTCATCAAGAAAATAATTACTAAGTTACATGTCGGCAATATTTGTAATTTTATGTAACTTTAGTAAGATATTTTTATGAAGGCCTAGACCAAGTATATGGTCCCCGACTAAAACGTGTGGTGAGTGTAGAGACCGCCGAGGAGACTAACACTGAGCTCCCATCCAACAGTTCAAACAGTTTTTCTACATATTTTAAGTTGATGTTGATAGAAAATTCCAGTGAAACAACATAAAAAGTACATATTTAGCTGTCACAACCTTCCATTCAGCACAAATACAAAGGCTGCACCAACCATAATCTCACTTTAATCGTTTAGGATTTATTGAAACCCTGTACTTGAACGTTTCATGTGGGAAACACGGAAGTTCCAGGTCTTGTCCTAGCTGTTGATATTGTCTGACAGACGCGAGAGCCAATCGGGTTCTCTGGTTGTCACAAGCAGCCAGTAAGATTGAGGGGGGCGGGGGATCTAAATCGTGGGTCCTCAATGTTGGATTGACTAAGCAAATTCATTTTAGCGGTGTCAGTCGGAGTAAAGACAGCTCGTGAACATGTCGAATACGGAAGAAGACAGCTGTGGAGGTAACTGTTTTTAAATAAAAGTAGATATAAGTTGTGGACTCCTGCGTGTGGCATTTTAAACGTAAGAAAAATAAATGCAATGACTTCAAATTCCCGGTGTAACTTCACTGAAGCTATTTACTATTGTTTACTATATTTTACATACAAGCTGACACGTCTTTACTGCAAGTCTTCTTTCTCTTCAGTCAGTCACCAAGTTTGTTGGCTATACATTGTAAGCAAGGTTTTTAATGTCATTAAACCATTCTCAATGTCAGTACTTAATTGCTCTTTGTCTCACCTTTCCCAGGAAGTGTTGCTAAAGGCAGCAGAACAGCAACAGACAGGGCTGGTGAGTGCTTAACACTAAGTTACGTGCAATTTTTTCCTCCCTTTTTTTTAAGTTTATATACTTTTTATAAAAGTTTCTTGTGAAAATTAGAGCGGAGGAAACGTCTACTTAACGTGTACTGTTTGTGTACTTTTATCAAAATAAAAGTGAAACAAACAGGGAAGTTGTAAAGAAATCCGGTTCTGTTGCCAGTGAAGCCAAAGTGCAATAGGTTTAATCATTATCTCAAACATATTTCCCCATATTTCCTGTCATCGTTTGTAAATTAGAAACTCATCAGCAAGAAATTTTAAAGGTGCTTTTGTGGGTGCAGTGACAACTCCGGTAATGAAACTATGACAGCCCAGCTTGCTAACTTGTCTTGTCTTGATCCAATGCACATTCCTGCATGTTTATTAGATATGCCCCGGGTATGCCTAGCTAAAACAAATGCAGCTTAATACAACAGATAAACAACTGTTTATCCAGTTTACAGCAATGAAGGTACATGAAATATTAGAAACACCTCTCATTGTACTCAATGATGATGAAAATGTTTAAAAAGAAGCTGAATATTATAACTTATATGAAAGTAGGATTTATTGCAGGACTGTAATATACTGGCAGTGTATAAACAAGAAAATGCCGCACAAGCAAAGATATATATGTATTTACTTAGATTCCTTTTTGTCAGTCAGATGATACTTTCCAAGTTGTCAAACACCCCTGAGCTGTTGCCTGTAGCACACAAAAGTCTAACCTGCATATCTGTAGGGTGTGGAGACACTTTTGGCATCTGTTCTTTTAGCAGCCGTTGCCATCTTTCTCCACCTGTCACCCAGCTATTGAAGACCACGAGGACTCTAAGCTGGTAGCACAATGGCTGCTTGACCCCATACTAGCAGCAGTGGAGCATTTTGTGCACCTGCAGTTGTACTGCTTAACAAAGAAGCATAATCCTGAAAAGCTCAATCCCCCAATGTATTTTTGCCAACTTCAAACATATTCAGAGTATTTCTGATATTTAACAAATTAGCAAAGCCTGACTTCTCAGTGCATTACTGTTTATTAATGATATTCTCTATTGTTGCATTGTTTATTCATGTATGTGTTGTTTTTTTATAGCATGCACAGACCACCTAACAGAGACGGATGCCTACATCAGACGGTACAGAACTGTTTCTTCTTGTTCAGCTGAAAATTCTCACTTCTCTCTAGTCCAGCACGGCACATAATATTGTCTTTCTTCCTGTGCTCTTTTTCGTTATACAGCTCTTTACCTTTGGATCCTGCAGAGGAGTACAAGATGAACAACAAACGACGAGGCCTTGCACTCATCTTTAACCAGGAGCGCTTCTTCTGGCGCCTGGGGTTACCTGAAAGAAATGGAACCAATGCTGACCGCTACAACTTGGAGAAAAGGTATCACGTCCTAGCCAGCTGCTGGAGTGGGAACCCAGTATTTCGCATGCTTAAGAACTTGTCTGTGCTTGTTCAGCAAATTGTCTGTACCTGTAGTAACATCTTATTGAAGAATTTCCTATGTATTTCATATCATACTAAACTTATTATCACGTCTCTTTTAGACTGAATGAGCTTAACTTCGAAGTGAAGGCTTATGATAACTACAAACAGGTGGAAGTCTTAGATAAAATCAGTGAAGGTAAGCACATGTAGGATCACTTCTGGCTGTAGTACAGGCCACTTTTACTTGTTCAGTAGCAAGTTTAACAAATACCTGATGTCCCATCAGCCGCAGAGGCGGACCATTCAGACTCAGACTGCTTTTTGCTCGTCTTCCTGAGCCACGGCGAGGATGATCACGTCTACACCTACGATGGCAAGATCAGCATTCAGGATATCACATCCCTGTTCAAAGGAAACAAGTGTAGGAGCCTTGTGGGAAAGCCAAAGATCTTCATATTACAGGTAGATGCAAACAAACGCCAAAGCTCAATCAAACCTATCAGAATATGGGAACGTGCAGAATTAGCTGTTTTTGTGTCCGTCACTAGGCGTGCCGCGGAGACAAACATGATGATCCAGTGACTGCCTGTGATGCCGTGGACAGTGAGTTGAAGACAAATGAGGTGGTGGTTGACGCTAGCGCCGTACACACCCTCCCTGCTGGGGCCGATTTCATCATGTGCTACTCTGTGGCTGAAGGTGAGCCGGCAGGGGATGTTTAAAACTCTTCATCTGCCTTGAAGATGTAGCAGGAATTCTACTTGGACACTAGAGTGAATTATTTTAGAAAAAGAAGTCACTGTAAATGTCCTTTTATTTTTGCTGTTCAGTCAATAACTATCCTACCCTGTCCCCCGTGTTTGTTAAGGTTACTATTCCCACCGGGAGACCATCAACGGGTCCTGGTATGTCCAGGATCTGTGTGAGCTGCTTAAAATGTATGGGGACTCCCTTGAATTCACAGAATTACTCACGCTGGTCAACAGGAAAGTGTCGATGAGGAGTGTTGGGAACTGTCTTGACCGGAATGCCATTGGGAAGAAGCAAGTACCTTGCTTTGCTTCAATGCTCACCAAGAAGCTCTACTTCCGACCAACAAAGTAACAGTTTCAGACCTCAGTCATAAAATGAGCCGGGTGGGAAACAGGATCTCCTCTGGGAAATTTTAAAGAGATGTTTGTTTTTTCTAGTCCTCTACTGTATGTTAATCATAAACACTATTATTCACATTTGCATTTAACTATAATTAGAAACCTTAAAATTCAGTTGTTGTATATTAACAGGAACAACATGCTCTGAAGAATTATGAATATTCTTTTCCTTATGCTATTCAAAATTGTGGTTTCATTTATGATGCAAAGTTTCTCTTCTGGAAAAAAACAGATTTCTTGGCAGATTTATAAAAGGGTTTTAAGGTTTTTGCATTTGCATGACAGAGAACCAAGATAGGCAAAGTATCCGTGGCAGCAGATGGTAGAGGAGAAATCATATTGCTGACCAGCTGTTAGTAAACACGGTACTGTGTGATTTACTGGTTTGTCTGAATTTACTGTTGTGTGAATGCAAACACAGCAGACATTATAATGCAATCTTATCCAACAGCCCTGAAGTAATTCAAAGTTAGACCAGCACAATGGCGGGTCAATATGGGCTTATTACAGCTACATGTATACACTGACATAAGGGGTGAAAAAGGTAAAAACAGTTATCTTAGAAACAGTGCCAAATATTGTCTATGTCCAGCAAGCTCAATTGTTTATATCAGCACAGCAGATTACTATATCTCACAGTGGATCTGATCATTGAGCAGTCGGTAAAAGGCAATTTAGTAATTTTCCCCCAACTCTGATAACCAAATGTGAGGGATCCCTGCAAAAGCAACCACAGCAGATGTGGTTCAGAACCTTATAAAACTTCATCTCTCAAAAATTAAAGTGTATATACTTTTAAGAAATATAACATAAATCTTGGACCAGCAAATGTTATATGTTTGATAAGGCTGCCCCTTGCTGACTAAACTGATCATGAGGTGAGATGCATTAGGGATCTGTGTGGCTTTTACCACAACAAACACTTTTCTGGGGAAGACCTGAATGCTTAATTACAATCATTATTTTACTTCCCTGATGACCAATTTAGTTTCCAGTGTCAGGGGTGACTTCATATCCAATACTGACTTATAAGACTATGACATTTATTTTTTGCTTCAGACAGAACACAAATCAGTGTTGTGAGTTTATCATTTATGGTCTTCTATTGGATTGCTTTATGTTTTCAAGGTGTTCCTCTTATTTTGTCCAGCTCTACGATATAGATCAGATTTTGTGCTTTCAGAAATTATTATGGACCCATATTCTTTGTTAGTTGCCTTTCGTCACATTTTTAACTTGCTTGTTTAATCAAATTTAAACTGCTGTGGTACTAGACAAATGCTGACTTTATCCTGCAGGTGACTTTTGTTTAACATTCTACAAGACGGTAGTAGTTGATATTATCAGTGGCCTTGCAAAGGGAAGCTTTCCTCAGACTTAACATTGTTTCTGAGGAAGATGGAAATGACAGGCAAGTCAGGATTCCTTAAATACAGTCTGGCAGGTCCACAAGCCAGACAAAAACTTTCCAACTATACTGCGTCTTGCGAGGCATGTGACATAACAGCATGAGAACCATGTACTTCTAATGATTTTGTTTACTTCAGGGTTTAACACTTATCTTTCTAATTACAAATTATGTAGTAATATGTCTTATAGTAGGTTTATCCAGGCACTACATAAACATGCTGTTTGTCTTCAAACTCGCTCCATCAAAAAGGGAATTCATGGTTGTGCTGCTGTTTGTTGTAGTAGTAAACTGTATTCAATTTAATAATGCGTATTTGCACTCAAAAAGGCAACAAATACCAGTGTGGGAAGAACCTCAGGCAGGAGGGGTGTTTTTAAAGCTGTACTCTGGACATAAAACACTTGTAGCTGTGTCACATGATCTATGACTCAGGAAAATCAAAAGCTACCAGCATACAATGATCCTGTATTTTTGTGGTGTTATTGTTGTGAGTTTTTGTATAAAAACTGTCTGTTGTATAAAATCTGTGTGACATTTTTGTTGCTTTTTTGCTCCCCATAGAGTGATTGTTTTATAAAACAAGACATCAGGCAGACAGGAGATTCTCCCAATGTTAGGGAAATACTTTTTACTTCAATAGTCCTCAGTGTTTATACTTTTCTGAAAGATATAATTGGCATCATTATCAAGACTAAACAAAACACAGAATGACATGGATTCCTGGTAAAAAGGCACCATTATTAAAATAAAGCAGAAAATTTGTTTTTGCTCCGGCGTGAATAAGTGCCATGAGTCACGGCTTGGCTTCATTCATGGCTTTGGTTGGATCTGTTCCAGTGGTAGCTGAAGTTGAGTTGGATCTCTCAGACGTCTCAGGTCCTCCTCCACCTGACACACAGAACAGTCACACAGTCTTATTACTAATGATTAGTTCAGTGGGATTTCCAGAAGGCATAACTGTTATAGTGTCTAATAACAATGAATGGATGAGAGTGCAATTATCTTAAATAATTTTTATCTAATTATAACTTTTTAGCCACACTGGCGGCGTGGCTTTGATGATCCTTTGGTTTAGATTAAAATATCAACAATTATTGGTTGGACTGCCATGAACTTCCTCATGGTGAATTATAATAGGTTCGTTCGAAATGACTGCGGCTAACTTTCGCAGGGGCGGGGTATAATACGGCGCCGTGAAGTCGGACACATCCAACCTGCTTCAGCTTGGTGTGAGCTGAGATCAATGAAAGCATCTGCACAGAAAAATGCCGCGAGATCAGGCAAAAGTGTGGTTCCAACTTTGTGCAGCCGGAGAAAAGCAACTGCGGCCACCGGACTCTGCGCCTACAGCCGCCTTGCTCCCGGTTTAAATGTCATGTGACATGGTGACGTTTTGCAGCGCCGGTGTTTTGACGATCTATGCTGCCTTGTCGAAAAATGCTACCGTTGCGCAAATCGACAGCAGAGTCTATCTAGTCGCTCTGCCCTATCGAAAAATGCCACCTTATGTGTTCCCTTTTCCAATCCCATAGTTATAACTCTCACAGTATTATGATTTGATTATATTATAACATTTCAGCGGTAGTGTATTCTGACTAATATCCCCTATCAAATAATGCTCCGATTCCAGAATCATTTTATATTGCACCACTACTCACTCCATGTGTCAGTCTCAGCAGAACTTTGTGTTTAGTGCTAATTAGCAGATGTCAGCATGCCATATGCTACGTTACGATAACTAACATGGATAACATGGCTGCCAAATCAGCATGTTATTATTGTCAGCAAGTGTGTTATTTGATTTAAATGGTGGATAGTGGTACACTGGAATTTCAGAAATTCTATCTTTCATTTTTGATCTTACACTTTAAGAATGTTAATAGTTCAATTATAGCAGGTGTGCAGTTTACTTGTTAGTGAGGTAGATTGTGACTAGTGCTATGGATTTGGCTAATGTAAAAAGTGAATCAAACAACCAACCTGATTCAGTTCATCCTTCAGTTCGTTGTATTTATTCACGTCAAATTTCTTCCTGCTGGCCCCTTTATAGAAGTAATTCAGGAACTGTCTGTCTTTAACTTCTGGGTATACATAATCCTGAGGGAAAGAATAAAGTAGGATTGTTATTAATGTGGGGAGGAAAAAACATATCTGCATGATTTTGTACAACTGAGCTTCATGTTTAATTAACCATATGTTAAAAAAAATTGTATGTCGTCTTAGGAAATGTGCTAATTTGCTTTTTTGCAGAGAGTTAGATGAGAAGACTGATATCACTCTTGTACCTCTGTTAAATATTAAACCAGCGCTAGCTAGCAGTTAGCTTAGCATAAAGACTGGGGAATGGGGAAACCGTTATCCTGGCTTTGTCTGTATGTAACATTATCCACCTATCAACACCTAATTAACACATACTATCTAGTTTAATCCATACAATGACCGAAGAAATGACAATTTATGGTTTTATGGTCTGTGGTTATGTGCCTAAGTACCTCTTGGCCTGGCGCAGTGACTTCCTGGAGTCTTGTTGTGAAGTCACTGCAGCCGGCCAATGAATAGGTCCAGCACTAAATCTCATATAAAAACTACAATTTGTTTGGTAGACAGATTTTATTACGTTCAGACAGAGCCAGTCTAAACTAACTGCTGCTGCCTTTAGTTTTCCTATTTAATGGACAGACATGCATTGTATTGAGCTTCTCATCTAACTCTAAAGCGAATAAACACATTTCCCAAAATGTCAAGCTATTCCTTTACATTAAAATCAGTTAAAGTCCACAACAAAAGTGACATTTTTGTTTTATGTCCCTGAGACTTGCCTGTTTGGTAAGGACATAATAGCTGAAGGCTCCAATGCTGGTGGCGTATGTGATGAAGTAAGTGACGGGCTCCATGACGTCCCATGAATAGACCCACCAGGTGAGCCAGGCCAGAGCGCCACCCTGGACAGATAACAGGGCCATGCCGGTCCAGAGAACCCTGGAGGTATGGAACGCCGCTCTATGAGTCAGCTGTGCCTTTATCTGTTAGGCAGTAATAAAAATGAGAGATGGGTTACCAGCCAATTTGTAGAAACCTGTCCAACCAAACAGGAAAGATATGTCACTTTCAACACAGTGCTAAAAATAGACTCAAGGGGCTGGAACGAGGGAGAGGTTTAATGGCATACAGATGTTGAAACGCATCCACTACCTTCTCCAGGGGTGACAGCTCCTGTTTGAGGTTGTCCAGTCTCTTCAGCAGCTGCCTCTCTTTAAGCAGGTGGTGTTGAGGCAGGTGGAGCGCTGTGTGCAGCAGATGCACAACATGCTTCATGTCCTCTAGCTCCACGGCACGTTCACTGGATGTACACACTGCAACAGAGGGTACGACAAAAAAATGGACGGGGAGGAGAAGAAGAGATGAAATGTACGATAAGTCATGCCTGGAGACAATAGCTATTTATCAGCAGGCCTAAGTTGTAATTGTGAAGCAGACAAAATGAGGACCATTTATGCCCAAAGACAAGTGTGTTTGTACCATTTTCAGGAGAGCAGACGTTATAAACTGCACCATTGATGACGAGCTGGAAATCCTTGCCCAGTAGAGCGTCTATCAGTGTGTTGTTGGCTACACGCTCTCCATCTGTCAGAAGAGGACAAATGTCCAACTCAGTATTCTCAGCAGTCATTTAACTTCATTCAGAGCTGACTGACTTTTTCAAGCATTTAGGGCGGGTGTTTAATCCAATTTAATAACAGTGGAAAAACGGGTTAATGACTTGTGCCATAATATCCTGGAGGCTACGAGCCAAACTACTGTAGCCTACATAAACAAAAAAACTACTCTTGCTTTCACTCCTACCAACCTGTCAATCCAGGTTGCAACAAAAATGGTTAAACCCCACTGACTAAACCTCAAGAATGTCATCGGTCTGGTTTGTGTCGCTAACACGTCGCGTCCTACCCGCGGACAGAACGGAGGCAGTGGCCCCAGGGTCCTCTCTCTGCAGATCTGTGATCAGGTCACCCACACTCATCAGCATGGGTCGGAGGAAGAACAGACACTTCTCCTTCCTGGACGGCAATGGGACCTCCAGAGCCAAACGGCCATATTTGTACTTCAAAGACACATCTGCAACACATTGGAGGGGAAAATCTGCCATCAGAAGGGTTGAGCTTGCATTTGTTGTATGCTATATATCTTGAGCACAGATCATCAAGTCATCCTGTGCCATTAAATTATCAGGAGAGATTGTAAAGTCACAAACGAGGCAGCTATGCAACATACTGCAATTTATTATCATGTGGATGTAGTAACTGTATATTACCACTGGAGGGAGGGAGTGTACTGTAGAAAAGAGTGTGACAACTTCCATGTAGAGGCAGCCTCTGTTGAACCTGAAAGAAAGAGAGAGCATTACCAGTTTATTCTCTTTGTTCTTTGGACTCAAAAGGTGCATCCCTTCCTTGGTAAACTGCCACATCAGCTGACACTGGAGTGTAAACATCCTCCTCATCCTGAAAAGAAGGACCTGAAATAAAGATCTGCTCAACAGCAGCCTGACAACAACCACAACAATTGAGTTTTCTGTGAATTTGGCTTTGCTCTGAGAGTGCTTTTACGCTAATATGATTTTCTTCTCTGACAATCGCTGGCTTTTGAACTGCTTTTCTAAATTGTGTGTAATCTGACCGGCTGATAGGACAGATTGTTCGGATTCCAGCTCCTTTTTGCTGATGCATGACTTTTCATTAAGTTAATTAAATCTTAGGCTGCAGCCTTTAATGCTTAATGAAGTGCCAGTGTGTCTTTCAATAAACAAGTACCATCACAGCAGAAGGTTTTAGTCCCTCCCACACTCCTGACAATACAGAGGGAATCCATAGGAAACAGCTCAATGTCCTAGCCAGCTGGAGTACTTCTCTGTCCTGTACTTTACATTCTGTGGGCGAAGTCCTTTTAGTTTACATGCAAACTTATATTTCTACTCAATATTTAAAGCCTTTAGGACGTGCCACAAAGCAGCAATTTTAGCATGAAGCCACAAACTTTACTGTGGACAGTTATCTCAAAATCTCCATGCGATTAAAAATATCAAAACCAAACCAACACAGACGTATTAAAAGGAATCGTAACAACAACATTAATAACTATTATATGTTCATAATAATAATGGATTCATGATATTATGTCCTCCTCCTACTAGGACTATTTCTTACTAAAAGCTCAACACTTCACAACAACAACAACAACAGAATCCCATCGATAGTATTTCTCATTTGGCTGAGAGTCCGACTGGGCCCCAAAAAATATATCTTTCTCCAACTGCCATCTAGGGATGTGGCCCCCACTCTGTCCCACCCTTTTGTCCTCCAGTATGTTCAATCAATATCACAAGAGGACACCCACACTCCACTGGATAGGAGATCACTCTTTAACAGGAAAAACATTCATATACATGCAGTAACTGTAGAGTAAATGTCCACATGACCAGAGACTTTTGTATGTGGTAACATGAACCATGTTACTGGACTACAGTGGCTAAAACAAGAGGCTGAAACAGAAAGAAACATTATAAAGACAGCTCGAAAAAGCTTATTATCTGGAGGTTACATACACATTTGTACTACAAGTGTTTGTTAGCTTGCTGATGAAGTGGTATGCCACAATGTGATGGAAAAACTGATTTTATAAATACTCTATGTCCCAAAAAGAGCCAAACAAAGTGATCCCAATGAGACAAGATTTAGCTGTTCAGCTTGTGTGCAATCTCCAGATGTTATTATACAGTTGAAAGCTGTCATAGAGCTTTACCACCTACGCATCTGCATACCAGCTCTCCATGGACAATGGGAAAAAGTATTTTTAGGGAATATATTCTTTAATACCAGTGAAACGTGCCATCCAAATGGATCTAGTCACACAAGCATGGCGACATCCAAAACCATAAAAGTTAACTTGAAAGAAGCATAGGGTTAACAAGGGCTAATGAAATTTCTCTGTTTTGAAGGTAACGTGGATGAAATCCTCCATCCCTATGTATGTATAATTTTATATTTTGATATAGCAAATCTTCTGGAAAATCAAATAAGAAACTGTTTATGAAGTGTTCATGGCTAATAGAGCAATTTAAATTTTAAATTAAAAAAACAACAAAAAAAACATACCATATACTTATTGATTTGCAACATTCGCTACAATGGCCTTACTCAGTGTATCCCAAATTGGTGGTCAGGTGGTCTCAAATCTGAGAGGTCACAGGATGATTAAACACATTTTTTCATTTTCTTATCGCATATTAGGCTATACACAACATTATGTAATAATTGTATCTTAAAATAACAGCTTAAAAATCCTTTTGATGGGACACTGACTTGTAACAGGGAGAATGGTGTCACTGCCACTCCGGCCCGGAGCACCGGGTACTGCACAGTTAGTACAGGACTCTTCAGCAAGCTAGTTATAAGAAGAAGCTAGCTCGGTATTCTTCTCAGTACGGATTTCATGGCAGAGGCTGCGAAGAGACCGAAGAAGACAATGTTGGAGGATACGAGGAAGAGAAAAAAAGCGAGTGTGACTGAGCAAGAAATTAATCGTTGTCATAAGCTAAAAGAGCTGATGCAAGGCAGATGCTGATCTGGCCTTCTTGCTGTTGGAGTAGTAAGTAATAACTTATTTAGCTGGCTTGCTATGTCTTGTGTTGTTGCGCTTGGTTGATGTTTGGCCACTGACCACTGTTGTAGGTGAAACCTACGCACATTTTGAACAAAAACAGCAGGGAGATGTCACATTGGCGCCTGTGAACGGGCACTGCAGTAGTATTTATTAATTAAGAACGTGTTGCGTGTTCAAATTGCATCAAACACAACACTGCGCTACCTTTGGTCTACAGCAACACACCCGCCACGTTTGAAGTCAATTGGATGAATAGTTACTGACATAATCGAAATACAAACACACACACATACATACACGTGCGCGCACACACACAGTCCCGTCTTTATTAGAGATATGTAATGATAATGAATGCATGTGTATAGCTGTCCTTATTTACAAATGCAACAGGGGCGCCAAACATATAATGTTCCTTTAAGGCCTCTAAAAATCTTTTAAATGTAAGAATCTGAGAATGAAAAATCTCTCTTTGGTTGAACAGCTCACAACTCATGTTCACACTCAGTATCCACACTAACGTGTAACAAAGGGTTACAAGTAGATATTGCTTTGTTTTAAGGGGCCACCAGCCAAAAAAGGTTGGGAACATCTGGCCTAATAAAACCAGAGAAATTAAAGGGATAGTTGCCACAATATAACTAGTATAGATAAATCCCTGACAGTCTACAAATTTGTAATATCTCACGGTGATCACAATACTCAGTACAGCTATGCATAACCATGCTGTCCCTGAAACCTGAAAGAGTCTAGTTATTCTGTGACTCCTCATAGCTAACCTCAGACAGCAAACACATTACCAGTATGTTAAACAGCCTGAAACCACATTTCATAAACCACCCCTCTTGCCGCAGCCATAGCGCTTCATTAAACTGAGTGGTGCAGGTGCTGACTGCCAAAACATACAGCAGGTGCATGTCAATAAAATGCCTATAACCATGTCAGTCAACACTTCATGTCAACATATTTTAAACAGGGGAGTGAGTTTGTGCTCACATCGCACATTTGTGCCCTGCTAATGTGAAAACAGCAAATCTGGATGTAAGTATCAAGGGCAAGGGTGGACCATTTGTCTCTTAGCAGAATGGTAACGCCTGCGTATGTGTGTGTGAGAGATCATTGACCAGAGTCAATTCCGCAGCTGACTGACTCCAGGCAGTTTAAATGGTATGTGCACACACATTCCCCTCCCATTCTAAATCAACTGAACGCATCTACTGTGGCTGAAAATGGATCTTGGTGAGCTATGTGATGAAAAATAGCCCATTTCCAAAGCCATGCTCCTCACCCTGTATTGTTACAGTCTGTGGCCTCACCTACATGTGGCAGTTACAAATGCTCTCACACAGCAGGACAATAACATTAAACAACAATTTGGCAACAATATGTTATATATTTATAGCAAACAATCTATATACATTTAAGTTGAAGAGTATTATGTGACAAATGACCCCTAACGTTGAGTTTTTGTAATGGAGTATTAAAAAAAAACAGCGAACGAGCCCCACGGCTTCATTACACTCAGTGACAGACACATAATGAGCGACTGCAATAATGCTTTTTATGTGCCTTGTGGGGATAATCTGACTTCTGCTGTTAATGCCTAGAACACATTGGCAAACAATACAGCGACAGAAATATGATTACATAGAAGTAATTTATCCCGAGGGAAATTGTTGTGCAGCAGCAGCAGTACAAGTAAAAAAGACCATAAATATAAAGAATTCAAATAATCATAAACAAATATCCAAAATCCACAAAATCTTAAATATACACAATGGCAAAAATATAAACAAGGTCAAGGCTAAGGGTCATAAGTTGCTCATATATCAAGTTGCTTCTTGGTTGCATATACAGCCAGGTCACAAATTAAATGAGTGAAGAAACCTAACGAATGCACGTTTCCACACGGGTGCACAGCATGGTACAATAAAGCAAATATCATCCAATCAAGATGGCAAGAGGAAAGGTGGTAAAAAGGGGGTTCATTGTTGGTGTACGGATGGCAGGAGCATCAGTCACAAAGACTGCTCAGCTGGCTCGTGTTTCAACAGCGACTGAAGTGACATCTGCATTTAGATATATGGGAAAGGCAAAGTAAATAGGGTAATTTGATGAACGTGATGCCCGTGCATTAGTGCGATCTATAAGGAAAAACAGAGTGTCAATGCAGGATGTGCTCAGACTGTCAGCAAGTCCGTCAAACATTATTGAGATGAATAGAGAGGAGGTCATACAGTAGGGTTACAGTGCATAAACACATATAACCATGCACATTTGAGAGTTTTAGTTAGGGCTGGAAAAGAAAACAATAATTATCGCAATATAATTTTTTTCAATAACAATATAACAAATGTTCAATAAATATTCAATAAATGTTTGATTTTATTCACTTGAATCATACACGAATTAAGACTTAATTTTTCTTATTAAGATGTTTATTCTATGGAGTAAAAAGGAATGAAAATAGGTTTTACTTAATTTTACTTAAAGATATTTGTTGACAAAGATTTTATCATAAATATTTTGAATGTTCTATCTCAGATTTGTGATGTGATCCACTGTTTGGCATCAAGTGTTGACCATAAAGAAAAGTTTAAACTACAATTAACCATCAGGTTTCTTCAACTTTTACTCAGGAGCAAAAATCACTTGAAAAAAAACTTGAAAGAAAATAACCTATTTGATACTTATTGTAGTAATCATCGATATCGAAAGATATGAA